CTGTAGGTGTGAATGTGAGTGTGCTTGGTTGTCTGTCTCTAAGTGTAGCCCTGTGATAGACTGGTGACCTGTCCAGGGTGTCCCCGGCCTTCACCCTGAGTCAGCTGGGATAGACTCCAGCCCCCTGAGACCCTAATGAGGATTAAGCGGTGTATAGATGGATGGATGGTTAGTTAGTTGTGTGACTTTTGTGAATTTTGCCTTTTCTTTAATGGAAGGGTATGAATACTTTTGAGGACGACTGTGTGTGCTTCACCTTCCTTTTCTAACTCTGTCCCATCCCTGTGATGGCTCCTCTGATTCAGGGCCTGCTCCATGGATCCAACAGAGGCGGTTAAAGCAAGGCTGAGCGGTATGCTGCGCATGTTTCTGCAACACCTCAAGGACAATGAAGGAAATGAGAACACCAAAGGTACACTAACATAGTGGCTGATTTAACAACAGGATGTGACCCTCACAGTGTCGTAGGTTAGAAAATAAAAAGAAAATGCATTTTAACGACACACATTAAATTCAAGATTAAAAGACCCCCACACTGCTTTTCACATACAATTCAATATTCTCCACAGCGTTGGCAGAAAAGTGCTGCCGTGAGGCCGTCATCTGGTATTACAGGATCTTGGAGAACCTCATCTGTCACGAGGGGAACCGGCTGGGCATCAGTGACGTCTCCGTGAGTGTGCTGCCATCCTGTGGCCACAGCTGGAACTGCGGTTCAGTTTGTTTAGCCACCAGGAGGTCACCGAGGGATACAGAATGTGTTCATCTAAGTTTTTATTTCTATTGTTTGTTTGTTTTTTATAACTCATGTTGAAGTAAAGCACTTTCTGTTGGTGATGTGTGCAGCTGATGCAGGGAATCTTGGAGAACGATCTTTTCCAGCGCTGCCTGGTGGCCTGTTGTCTGGACATCACAGTGACCTCAAAGCGTCTAGCGTACGGCTTCCCTGTACTCCTTCAGATCTTCGAACTGGCACCGTACCACTACTGGAAGGTGTGTTTTCCAGCTGACACATACTGCACACGTGTAATAGGATGTGGGTTTAGCGGTGTCCCTTGCACCCTTATAACTTTGTTTTCCTGTGGTCCGACAGGTGATCGGACCGGTGCTTCGGGTCGGGGTTGGTCTGCCTCCCAGTGTGTTCAGTCATTTCGCTCAAGTGGAGGAGAGCGTTTTGGAGAGTTTGGCCTGGACCAGCAACTCGCCGCTGAGGGAGGAAATCCGAGCCAACGAGGGCCGATTGCCCTCCTGCCAACAGGTCGACAACAACACACAAACACTCCTAACCTGGAGCATGGAGTTAGCATCTATAGAGCTTTAACAACACTGCAGTACTTCTTCATACAGAGCGCTTTGTGTCATACGCAGGTGATGCCTCCTGAACAGCTTGAAGATCCGATAAGAACCGACTCCGAACCGGGACTTTCTACCAGCACAGACCAGCAGCGTTCCCCATCAGCTGTAACCAGGCCTGAGAGAAGCAGCTCCCTCCATCTGTTCGCTCGCAAGGTCAGCTGTCTGTTCTCCACATAGCAGCTAGCGTCGCTGTTTTCCGACACGTTTTCTCTTCACCTCAGGTTTACACGTTGATGGGGAAGCGTCTGAGAGAGCTGTGCTCCATGCTGGACATCTCCGATGAGCTGCGCTTAAAGATCTGGACCTGCTTCGAGCACTCTCTGGTGCACTGCGTTCACCTCATGGCCGACCGTCACCTGGACCAGCTGCTCATGTGCGCCATCTACATCACAGCCAGGGTGGGTTTCATTGAACTGAGAGCGCTCTCAGCATTAGTAATGGTCATCTTTTTCATTAGGTTGGCATTTTGGTATGTTTCCAGATGTCTTTTCTTTCACTGTCGAGGAGCTATTATAAGATGAAGAGGCAGTAAAAGGAACCAACCAGGTTGTAGAAAGACAAAGCTAGTCTGCTAATTTATACTTTAAATTAGTGATGCACGATATTAAAATTTCTGGCCGATACCGATATCCGATATTCATATTTCTGATATCGCCGATAACCGATATTACTGGAGTCGATATTCAGTTGTTGTTCACGCCAAAAGATGAATATAAGTATGCACTCTGAGAACGTGAAAACTATTCAAAAGAAGCCCAAATTAGACCACATAGTCTTCCTTTTTACGTAACAAAAGTGAAACATATTTTAACATATTTAACATTCAAGTCCAGGACCATTTAAGTAAAAACATCTGTGAAATTGCAGCGATATCAAATGTAGAGACGAAGGCACTAATGTTAGACAATCATCGGCTTCTCACATCGGCTAAATTTGTTCATTGGACCGATACTGATATATCGGAAAAAACACTAATACCGATAACGATGTGGTCGCCGATACATCATGCATCGCCACTTTAAATTTATGTGGGTAAAAATACATGTTAGAGATTTTTTTTTTTTCCCCTGGGGAAGGCAGACAAATTGAATCACTCCAGATTCTCATGTGAGACTTGGGTTGGATGTGCACCAAAACATGCCAGTATAAGACATGTATTTGTAATCCATAATGTAATATTCCTACACATAGTGGGGTCCAACAGACCATCTGTCATGTAAACCTGGACATATTTAGAAAGTTTGAGGATTTATAAACATCTAAAAACACAGGAGGTTCTGATATGTAACATCATTTTTCTTCTGATTTTGTTCAGATGGAAAACAGCTTCACTACAGATACACAATTTACCAAATAAAGAGCTCAAGAATCCAATAGGAAAAAGTCAAACAGGCTGTGTAGCAGTGCTCCCAGCGCACGAGGAGCATCTTTTACAGCAGTTCATAGAGGATAATTGAAAAAAAAAGTCCTATTTACTGATGAATCACAGTTAGAGATTAGTGAGCAAAGCGTGTAAGTGGGGAACCGAACAGGAGAGAGAACGATACCGCAGCGTATTAAACCGTGAAACGTGGTGGTGGAAGTGTGCAGGGTGTTTTGCTGTTCGGGAATATGACACCAAATTAACTCCACCAAGGAGAAGCAGCACTCTATTCTTCAGAAAAGTGCTTTAAACGTATGGTTTGCGGAGCACCTGAAGACTGAAAAACCTTCCTGACAGCACTGGAAACCCTTTGGAACGTTACCAGATCATGCTGGGATAACATTAGCCAGCAGGTTGGAGCAAACTTCTGGAGTTAATACAGCTGAAGTGCTTCTGTCATGAAAGCAAACAGATAGAGATCCCATAAGCACAATCATCAACATTTAGTTTACTCATTTTACTATAACATTGCCACACCTAGTAAAGTGTTTGTTGCTGTTCGATGACACGATATGACTGAAGGACCACTGACTTTCCGAAAAACATGATATCAAAGATTCCACTGCTGGAGTGCGTTGTCAGTTGTTAACTTGTGGATTTTTGCTCGTTCTTGCAGCTCACCAACATTGACATTCCCTTCAAGCACATAATGAGGTGCTACAAGTCGCAGCTACATACCAGCAACAGCGTAAGTTTTCTGTGTTTTTTGTATTTTAGCTATTGCCATGTCTTTAGACTGCAACCATGAAATAAAAATAATATGGAAAAAAGCTGTTATGACAAAGCCACTTCACAAGTCGTTATCCTTTTACGTGCATCTTCCCTTCATGGCTGACGAGGATCTAACAGCTGAAATCAACAACTGATCTCAGAATACGACTTTGTTTTGAATGGTTATTACACAGACCTGGAGTCAGCACACTTCATCTCGGGAAGCTCATTTGCTTCGGAAGTTCAATCATTCAAACATTAGACTCTATCTGATTAAAGAACGACTGTAAATGAACAATTATGCTAATTGATTCAAATTGATTGAGTGCAATTGAGATTAGGACTATCAGAGAGTTTTGAGCCATGCTGGCAGCACAGATCTCCAGATAGAGATGTCAGTGTCAGCCTGTTTGGTCCACACTCAGACATCTCAACAATTATCAGATGAATTGTCATTAAGTTTCATTCAGATCGTTTATGTGTTCCTCAGGAGGAATTATAATAACTTTACTAATCCCTTATCTTATCATGTAATGTCAACATCAGGTCAGTTTTTTTGGTTTGACACATGCTCGGCTTCATCGCTTAAATACCTGGAAAAGCTTCACTCTGTGCTGGTTAGCAAATGCTAGCATGCTAACACGCTACAGTCAGATGGTGAACGTCATCATGGCTGCTTTACATAAAGCATGTCAGCATTGTCATTGAAAGCGCATTAGCATGTTAACATTAGCATTTCGCTCGAAGCGTTTCTCTGCCCGAATTGATGGATTTGTTTAATATTTATGAACAGATGGTTTTTGTCCTCAGGTCTGCAGCAACGTGCTGATCCCACGAAGAGTCACGGAAAATCCCCCCAATGAAGGAAACAGTAAGAAAAAAAAATAGAAAGTCAATCATCTGCATGTTGAAGTGAAAGAGGAGAATTAAGACGTCACACAACCACCTCATCACATGCACAGAAACTCAAACTATTATTATGTTTTGTTATGTCATGCACATATGAAAAAGATTTAAAACGCTGTCAGTTTATTAATACAATAGACTTGCTTTGACTTTTCTGTTTTGGCAACATCAAAACAGCTTGTTAATTAAAAACACTTCCTCTTTGAACCAAACTTCTGCATATCGAGGGTCAGCCACAGGTCAAGTGTTACGTATCTGCAGCGCGACATCATAGCAATACCTCACAGTAAATGAAAATAATAAACCCATCAAGATGCCACGACAATTCACTTTCAACTCCATTTTATCAGTAATGCAAAAGTAATTCCACGAAGAGAGCCGCTCATTATGTTGTTGATTACAGATAATGGAGACCACAGCGGCGCTCTCCCGACCCCCGACACGCCATCGGCACATTATCCAGGACCTTCTCAGGAGGAACGGGGCAATCTCATCAAGTTTTACAACCAGGTCTACTTGACAGAGATGACAGGCTTTGCCAAGCAAAAAGCCCCGATCTCTGGGGTGAGAGAATCATTTTAGTTTGATCAAAGTGTACGAGAGAGGAGGGTAAAAAAAACCCAAAAATCTGGGGCACAATAAACAAAAAAGCCAGAAGTGCCATGCTAACAGCTGGGTTACAGACTAACACTTCATTTCTTGTGCAGGAAGACACTCCTCCTCCGTCTACGTACCCCCGACAGTGGAAAGCTTCTCCTCGCAGATACCGACTGTCCAGCCGCCACTCCATCTTCATTTCACAGTACAACGCAGACACCAGCCCGCCTCGCGCACCTGGACTCTGCTACTACTTCAACTCAAGCCCCTCAGAGGTCCGTGGTCATAATGTTTGGGAAATTTTAGCCATCACATTTTCGTCTTACTGATTTTATGTTTGTACGATCCACATTGAAGCTACCTCATTATGTAGATGGTGTCAGAGGGAAACATTTCCATAAATTGCTTTGCTGTTTTTTCACAGCGTCTGCGTGAGATCAACAACATGATCAAAACAGGCAGCTCACCCAACAGGCGGCGCTGTGCAGCCTCACGGGATGCCAAGGATGACGAGGAGGAGAGGGAGGACGGACCGTCGACTAAGAGGCCTCGCTTGGGCGACCAGCTGGCCTGGCAGAGACGGCTGAGGGGCGTGGTCAACGATCGCGTCGCTAGCAGAAACCAGGACCAGCGTTTTCCAGTTCCAAAGCCGAACCTGCACTAGAGTACGGACGAGCATCTCGATTCTAAAACTGCGACGACAGTGTCAAGTGTTAGAAGAGCAGCTTTTCTTGCCTTTACAGATATCCGTTAAGAATTTCTTTGGGCCAAATTCTTTGTCAGCTCAAAGTACTCTTTTTTTTTTTTTTTTCTCTGCACTATTTTTGACTCCAAGGGTACTGTGTGGATGTCCTTGAGTCAGACACTTAGCTCAGTGGTTACTGGTGGTCTGCTGTCATCCTGGGCCGCATCCTGGTGGGAATACACTGCGTGGTGTTGTATGAACCAGAAGTAAGATATGGCTACAGATTGCTCAGTGGGCTTCCCCTGGATAAATAGAGGGTTACACTGAGACACCGTGTTACTAAGTGACCTGCAGTTGAGTCGCTGTTAGCATACGACGAGCTGGTCTCACCTGTTCCATGCTCACAGGACTGAGCTCATACGTACAGAATAGACTTTTACCAGGCTCTTCCACAACGCGGCATTTGTTCTTTTTATGCCAAACATTAGTAAATTTGGTTGTAAACTTAGGATCCTACTTCTGATACAACCTTTAGACAGATGACCTCATATTATCTTCAGCAGCGAGTCGTCCAGAGACAGTAGAGCAGTATGATTCCCAGTTGGTATGAGGTTGTTCCCAAAAAAAAAAAGCTGTCTTTGGTCTGCGCTAAACATCTCGGTTGCTGTGGACAAACTACTGTACCTCTGATTTGTCAGTGCAGATTATTTTAAGAGATATATTTGCTTCAGTGTTTATCGGTAAACTGTAGTTTTGCTTTAATGTTCTTTGGGGGCAGCGAAGGCTTTTGTCTGGGCTCTCTCCAAGTTTGACCAATCAGTGTTTGTCTTCAGTCAGAAGTAGGTACTTTTTGTCCCTTAAAATAGTCCTGAAAGAGGTTCTACAGGGACAGTTCTTGTAGTGGGAACACACACAAAGGTTCTGGCCACCTTCAAAAACAGGTTAATGGTACCTGATCTGAACTCCTGATTCTACGTTTACGGATTTGAAAGGATGATGAATGTAGGGGTGTACTTATTGTTCCATGTGACTGATGTGTTGTTTTTTTGTTTTTGAGTATGTCACCTTTATTAATAGGCACCATTTCAAAGAGGATCAAATGTTTGCTTGTTCAAATATGTCCAAAAAGTCCATGATTTTCCACTTTTACTGACGTTTTCATGTGGCTAAGCTTCGGCACTGTGTACAGCCTGCATGAATGATTTGAGTTTTTTTTAATTGTTGGATTCTAATTAAGCGGGGGATGGTACTAAGTGTTTAATGCAAAACACTCTAAAGTAAATTTTAATGTGTTTTTAACTAAAGTACATTTCCAAACTGTACAACATAAGCTAATGTGAGACTTTTGGAGACCTGACTGTTGCGACAGCATGAAACTTTATCCTGTGGCACATTAAATACGTGGACAGATTTGACAGAGAAACTACAACAAATTCTGTCTGAATAATTCCTTCACATCCTGCCATCGGTTCCAGCAGCTGCTTATTACAAACCCAATATCTCAGCTGATTCAAAAGGACATCAATCAAAAACAGTCATTTTATTAAAGCCCAGAAAAGTGTGTTACTGATTTTTTTTTTTTTTTTTTACATCATGTGGACGTTTGAGCTTTATTGTGTCGAATGATGTTTGTGTGTTTGACGGGGGCTGGTTTCAAATTAATCTCACTAAATTCAGTTTGACATGTGTACGGCCGAGCATTATTTGTGACATGACAACTTGTTTGGAAGTTCCAAAATTCAAACTGTGTGATGTGAAAAAATGTGCAGCGTCCACTCAGGAGTGTACGCTGAGTGGACGTTTTTGTCAATTATATAGAGTAAGAATTCTGAATCATGAAGATGCTTGAATATAACTTGAAAGTAGTTCTCAATCAAAAAACTTTATTCAACATAAACCCTGTTTTTGAAAAGAAATCTGTCAAACTAAGATACTTCCCAATAAACTGAATTTGACAATTTGCCTTGAATACAGTTTTTCTCTCTTAAATCATTATCTTTTGCTGTTTGGGTTCTGCTAAATCCAAACTCCCTGCCTGCCTGTTATATTGTGTATAATTCTCTAACACTTGTGGCCTCTCTCTGCTGTGCTCTGTTTGTACAAAGCCAATAAGATGCCACCAGATAACCTGTTTTACTCAACAGAGCGGTGCTACCTAGTGACCGAACAGCAAGGGACTCTATAGATTTCTGATTAATTGTCACTGACTTTCATTTTTCTGTCTGGCCCCTCTGGAGTTTTTATGATCTGTAAGTAAGAATCTGCTGTGACATGAGCAGACTTTAAACTCCTCAGACTGAATAAAAAACAAACTCCTTCCGCTGTCGGTAACCAAGGCTGCCCTGTGATTGACACACAATCCCCTTCAGTGTTTATCAGTAACCATGTTCTGACACGCTTCTGAGTTAATTCTCAACCAATGTTGCCTAGGAGGTAATTGCAAAAAAAAAAAGCGATCCAGCAGACGGAGCCCCGTGAAACAAAACCGGCACACAGTCAGGTTAGCAACACAACAGGAAGTCTCAAGGTTGCCATAGAGAACAAAGGCACCTGAGCCCACAACACTCAGACAGGTTTTATGGTAATGACCGACGTTTTTATGCTCCAAACCCTTCTGGACTCCCATCAGCCGAGCAGCACGCTGTAGACTCGTAGAGTTAGCCAAATCATGGGTTGCAACGTAAGCAGGGGCACCACGGTGGTGGACCCCTCCAAGAAGCCAGAGGAAAGGCCGAAGACAGCCACATCCACCAAGGAGGCGTCGACGGAGGAAACGAACGGAACGACCGAAAAAGAAAAGGAAGAAAAGACAGAGAGTTCCAGCTGAGTGGCTCTTTTACACCATCCTGAACTCATCTCCAGGTAAGATATGGGATAAATTATCTGAAAAACGTTTCTCAAACATTAATCTGCATGTCTGTCCTCTCATCCTCTTTTCTATTCTATCAATGAACGTAGACACAGAGCCTCCCCATAAAGCAAGCAATTTACGACCGTTGCATTGGGGTCACTTTGATACAATCACCTCTATAACTTGACCGCCGTGTCTCTCGGAGGCTGTTTGACGTGACAAATGGGCTGTGTGGCGACTGAGATGGGCTCTGTGGTGTCTGTGTTGCTGTGTGTACAGATTGGCCTGTCCGGGGGTGAAGGAGGGCCTGTCAGCAGGAGGAGGCGACGCTGCACTACTGTCCATCAACCTCCGTGTCATCTGGGCCAGCCACACATACTCAAAACACACAACACACACACACACTGTTGGAAGAAATCAAACACTTAACGTTTCACAAACTATTTTGTGATGAATAAACCAACACTGAGCCGTGCTGTCGTGTACCTGTGCTGCCTTCTTTTTCCTCAGCCTTCGTTTAGATCTTCCGCACACCACCCCTGCGGCATACTTTGCATCGCCCGTCTTTGTGTGTTTTTTCCGCAACCGTTCATCGCGCTCATGTTCATCCTCCTCCTCCTCCTCCTCTTTTCGCGTTCACACACACACACACCTCTGGTCAGGGCTGATAGTTACAACACACTCTTTCAAATGCTTCCAATTCTGCTGCAGGCTAAAGCGAGCAACCCTTTAAGATAGTCAGCTTACGTGTCAGCTGTGGATACCTTGCAGCTCTGAGCTAGATAGCATGCTCTGCATATCTGTTCATTTGGACAATCAGAGACAGCAAGTGCTTTACAGAGCAAATAATGAACTGCTGCCAAGAGCTGGAGTTTGAAAACATGTTCCAGCACTTCCCGCTCCTTGCCAGCAGAGGGCAGGAGCAAACGGAGGAGCAGTTCCCCGTGCGGCCACCAGGGAGCAGGAGCGATCTTCCCACGTCGCCGTGAGACATCTGAGGCCGGCTCCATTTGCTGAAGACATTTAATCTGAAATATAGGTTGTAAGTTTATTACCAGCTAGTGAATGGAGCTGGAATGGAATAGCCATTTTACAAAGCCATATCAAAAATACCCATCTCAGAGGCAGTGGGAAATTACATGAAAATATTACCATTATACAAATGGAAAGTGTGATTGAATAATGTGCTGGAGAAGATAAATGAAAAGCACTTTGTTGGAAAACGTGGCACTAAATAGGTTTTTAATTTCAGTAGTGGGATAAAAGAAGCGCATTTTTACCCCATTTCACTGCCAATTGATTAGTGGTTCCACACCTGCAGATAGAGAGGGGGCCTTATCGTCTCATTATCAGTTAATTAATATGCATGCACACATGCCAATTATCTTTCCTCTGCCATTTAGCAGAAAAGAGACATTGATGTTTTAATGGTGCCGGAATGGATAACTCCTCTGTTGCTTTAAAGACAAGGCAGGCACATTGATTGACATAGCAGCGAAATGTTAAGAGAGACAATTGAATTAAGAGCAACCTGAAACGCTTGATTATTATATTAATACTTCTCACCAGCCAAGCCGATTGCTGTTGCTTTCCAGGGGCTTGTGATCTAGCAGAGTTCATGATTAACTCTCTTGTGAAAGATACAAAAAAAAAAAAAGGGCAAGGCTTATGGCGCACTATGTGTATATATCTACCAATGAGAATCCATTATGGATACGTCTTATTTGAAGGACATGCAGAATAGCTAGCTATTACATTTTTCAGCTGTGCCATGACTATTAAAGGACCCAAGGCCACACCAAGTGAAGCAAACCCAAGATGAAAGTTATATTAATCACTATTCGGTTTACTGTACTATGTGCACTGAATTTATGTTCATGAGTCACAGGCCAGTGTTATGTGCCAGAGAAATAGGCAATATTATGGAAGGAAGCACTATTGACATTTTTCATTTCTGCATAAATGCTCCTGGTTGTACATTGTGCCCAAGGCTATAAGTTTTTTTTGTGTGTGTGTGTTTCTCTCTCTTTTTTTTTTTTTTCCAGTGCACTTTGAGCTCAATGCCACAATGCTATAATGTTGGAGTGATTCTGTCTGATCAAAAGAGAGAGAGAGGGGAAAAAAAAAAAGAAAAGACAGAGCTCTGCCGTCAAAATCCAAACCTAGGATCCATGATTTTTTCCACACATAAAATATCACAGAGGACAAACTTGTGCCACTAGAGGCAGCTGCTCACAGGACTGTGCCAAAAAAAGAGGGCAAACAGAAAATG